ACAAGCCAGTCCACACCTTCCATGGCAGCACCTGTGACCCCTTTAGCTTCCTCCACTGACGATATCCTCACCAGTCAATGCCAAGTTGCTTCTTTGCTGCAGCTTCAGACCAACCCTTCTTGATTTATGCTACAGAGGGAGAACTCAAAAGTAAGCTGGGGGCAGACCACAACTCTTCCTCCAATAAGGGGGAGTGAAGGAGCTGTAGAGACTCAGCATTGCACTGTATTTGAAATGATTGAGAATGAGCATTTGCATTGCTCAACATGGATTGCTGGGGTTTGGGGTTTTTTTGAATTAAATTTAAACCAAATGTACTTGTACATTGTACTGTAACATATTTGTACTGTAACACATTTGGAAATGATGCCTTTTCTCTGAATGGCAAGGAGAAGTACTTCCAGGAGAAGCTCACAGTTTTCCATGAGGAAGGGGTTTGCAAATGTCAATGCAACTGACCTTGCAGCAGCTTGCAACAGATGTTCCACCTCCTCCAGATGTATTTCATTGCTGGCCTCTACCTACTTTAAATAAAAGTACTCAGTTGGACTTTAAACCTCCCTTTTTGTGAGGTATCTTGTCCTGCACCACATTGGTGGTGCCTAACTCACCTTGCTGATGCTCAGTGTACCCGAATTCCAGTAGTTTAGTGGAAGATGTCATGTGAGGGCTGTTGCATGGTATAAACCACATATGTCCAGCATCATGATGCTGGAAAACATGAAAGGAGATAAAAGAACAGATAACAAATTAGAGGAATCTCTCCCCTTTTTTGAGAACAGAGTAGGTGCTGGATTTGAGCAGTGAGCAACAGCATTGTGCTAAGTTCATTTGAGTTTAGTGAGTGATCCTTCAAGCAAGCTTTAGGATACATTTATGAATATTAATCTACAAAACAAGTGATTTTAATAGTTTGTACAATCCTATTTGCATTAGTGACAGAGTTAGTAATGAGACATAAAAGAAAGGGGCAAAGAGAAAAAGCTGAGCATACAATCTTTGGGCTTGGTAGCAAGAAAGAAAAATTTCAGGCAATATAATACTTGAAAATAGATCCTGGTTGGCTGCCAAAAATGTATTTCAAAATAATGCCTAATTGCCTCAGGAAATACATTTATTAAAGGCTCCCAGAGGCTTAAGAACCATTTGCTCCAATTGACCAAGGCAGAGTACCGATAAACACCTGAGTCATGTAAAGAGCTATACGTGTCCTTTAGAAAAAATACATGAGAAATAGAAAAGGAAATCTAACTAAAAGCTCTTAAACAAGTTCCTTGAGCAGCTTACTGTCATCACTCTTGGGAGAGATCAAAGAAGAAGGTTACTCTGACCATAAAATCAGCAACAGACATTCGATAATCACTGAATCATGCTGTCCAAACTGAGATTTAGAAAGAGGCATCAAGAAGAGTATCTCTGTGGTATGAGCCAGAGTGCTGCAGGGAAGGGACCCTGGGGAAGTTTACAGAGGGGGCAGTGCCAGGACCACCCCAGCCCCTCACACAGCCAGGCACAGGGCCCTGTCCTTGCTGTCCTGCCAGCGTGTGGCCAGAGCGCAGGGTTGGCACCTTGCCTTACACGGCTGGCACAGCAGCCCCTGTGATCCACGACTCATGTCCTGGCCCTCCTCCTCCTGCCTTACATAAGCCTTCTAGGGCTGAGGTGTAGTTGCTAAGCAGTAATTTTGCATGACTTAAAAAGAAACCCATGATTGCTAGGTTCACTAAATGTTTTTTTTCCCCAACTGCAATATAATTATAGCTGTAATAAAAACATTGCAGAACATTCATCAGCATGCAAAAATTAGGTCAGGAACAAAGTGAGTATATCATAAATGCCTTTTAGAATCCTTTCTTCCTTCCTTTGCCATTGGAGGGGGAAGGACCAGAAAAGTTTGTTATTAAATCTAATTATAAATAACAGGTTTATCCATCCTGTCAGCTAGGCTGACATGAGCAGAAGCATGTGTTCTTGTTTCAGAAGGCAGCTTGCTTCCCTCATCACAGAGCTCTCCTAAAGCCTCACCAGAGGTTCCCTGCCTATGGCCTCTGCACACAGTGTTTTCCCCAAGCTCTGCAGCCTTAAATGAAGATGCTCACTCATCCCTCTGGTGGGGACCTGTAGTTTAATCCCTTTCCCCCCATCTTTTTCTCTGTCCACCTGCCCTTTGATAAGGTGTTGCCTGTGAGCTGGCTCCAGTGTCTCTGCCGAGCTGTCCACACGTACCCTGCAGCACTGGAGACAGCAAGGTCTAGAGCTTGTGTCTAGAGACAGAGAGCTAGAGACAACCCTTACTCCTCATGGAAATCAACTCCCTCAGAGAATAAATCCACTTGGTGATAGCCCTTGCTTCTCATAGACCTGGATTATCTATTCTATTGTCACTTAACTAATACAAATATGGAAAATGCCCGCTTTCTGTGTTTCATTAAAAAAATCAAATAAATGAAACTTAAAACATGCAATTGCTTGCATGCCCATGCAAAGCATCTTCCTGGTTAGCAAAAAGAAATATCAAATTCACTGCAAAGGCTTTTTTTCTGCACTACCTGTTTAAATGATTACCACTCAGGAAAGATCAGAGCTTCATTACAATAGTAACAAAAAACAAGATTAAAATGGAGGCTTTTGCCCACACACTTAAAAAATTGCAATTAAAGAGAATAAAGAAAAGTCACTTCATATAGATTCCTGGGATTCCAAGTCAAGAAAGCACTTCATTGACTGTTGGGGTCCTCCGTCCCACATTCCTGACCCTAACACAACACATGACCCACATACTAGAATCCAAGAAATGTGAAGCTGTGTTCCATGTGGGGTGAGCTGGGTGGCTGGAGACAGAGTCAGCCTTAATTAGCTGAATATTGATACTCTCTGGTGTTAAACACATTCTGAAGCTATATCATCCCTTGGCATGCAGTTTCCTTCATGGCCCATCACAACGTGAGACCTGGGGAGAGTGGAGGGTGTTGATGCCAGCAGGGCCTGGCTGCCTGACCCTTGCTCCTGTGCTGCAGCTGCTGCCACTGCTCCCGGGGGCAGAGGGGCCTGGGCATCAGGGAAAAGCTGCCCTTCTTGACATGGGTTTTTGGAGGGTGGTTTTATTTACTTTTGGGTGTGGGGAGTTGTAGGGCCTTTGCTTGCTCTGGCTTTGGGTTTTTGTGTGTATGTGTGTTAGGGAATTTTGTTTGTTTTTTCTTTCAGCAGTGGCTCCCCATTTAGGTTTTCCTCCTTTCCTGCAGAAACTTTTATTATTATAGTCACTTGTTAAACTGGGCTTGAGAGGGCACCTCTCCAGCAGGAGGCTGGTGTTAACAAAGTAGCTAACAAAGCTTGTTTGCCCTATGTGCACCGACCATCCCCAAGCAAATCCGGCTCGCTATTTTCAGCATCCTTTCCTCTCACTGATCCACCTCTCGATGGCCACCACTGCTTCCAAACGCAGCTGAAAGCGCCTGTAGCAAAGCAAGGCGAGCAGCTGTGTCAGCAGCACCCAGACGGAGAAGCTAGATCTTTCACAGCAGAAGAAAAGGTAATTATTCTAATTACTGCTACTTAGTAGGTGCTTCCCGCTGTAGGCTTCAGAGAGGGGAACTGAAGCTCGGGCTGAGGCTCTCCGGCACAGCGCTGGGAGCAGCCGCCCTTTGCCCCGAGGGCTCCCCGGGGCTGCCGGAGGGACCAGCCCTGCCCCGGGGCAGCTCCCGCTGTGCGGGGAGGATGCTGCGGCCACAGCCGGCTGCCAGGGCAGGCACAGAGCGGCCACTGCAAACTGCAACACCCCGCCAGCATCGCCTGCAGAAAACATCCCTCCTCCTGATCACAGAGCCAGCTCTGTGTTCCAGTGCTGCCAGGGGCCGAGTGCGGGGACAGGACGCTGCAAAGGGCAGGGGTGATGCGTGGCCTGAGGAGCCATCCAAAACACAGGGCCGAGCGAGGAAATGCATCACTGAGCGCCGGGGCAGCGGCGGGAGACAGAGCAAGTTTAGGAGCTGGCTTGGAGCAAGGCAGTGGTGAACATGTGCGGCTGCTGGAGTGCAAGGCAGATGTGACTAGCAGCATATGGGCCACTCCTTTTGGGCTGGGGGAAGACAAGGCAAGGTTGGAGACATAGAGATTTCCATCTGCTGCAGCTCATTGCCATAAATAGAGAGATAATGTGCACTAATTAGTACAGGAGTTGTAACAGCAAGCTACTTTTAATACTACGGATGATTGGAAAAAACCTCAAACCAAACCATACTTTAGATTCCCTCAAAACTTCCCCCATCCTGCCTCCCCAGCAGCCCCCAGCCCAGAGCAATATTCCCCACATGCTTACCACTGTACATCCCCAGCTTCACCTTTTCCTTCCTGGGATCCTTCAATCCCCAGTTCAGGAGAGCTGCAGAAGGACCACCACCTCACCCCTCCCCTCCTAGACAGACATGCAGGGAGGGGTGGGATGCAGTGAGGCACCTCACTGTTGTCAGCTGGTTCTGATCACTAGGGGAGTATTCCTCCTTGTTCTCCCCCTGCTCCAGGTGGTTTGTGGGGCAGACCAAAGTGCTTGCACCAGAGCTGAACATTTGAAGTGCAAAGTGAGTGTTCTGGGATGTGTCTGCATTTGAAATTCCGTGGTGTATCCATCTACTGCGGGCAGCTACAGTTGTGTAATTATAAACTGCCATTCCAGTTCACATAGAGGCAATTACAACAATAGATATATTTCATGAAGATGTAGATGGCTTGACAATACTTTCCTTGGTTTATTTAAGAGTTCTGATGCCTTCTTGAGAGGCATCTTAGACAAGGAAGACAAGAGTTTTCAAAGTAGACAGGATTTTGTGGGAACCTTAGCAATGTGTCAGGACCCAAAATACTTAGAATAGTCTTGTCAAAACTGGTAAAACTCTAACTCATTTCTTTAAGTCAGAGGTTGTTCGGTGTTAAAGTGCCAATGTAAGAAATGAAACAATCAGTTTTTGAAAGAAGTTCAGTAAGTAAAAATAAATAGCATAATGTTAGAGTTCTAAAAGCAAAATTTAATAAATTAATATATGCATGCCAGATAAAAATACAAAATTACAATTGAAATAGCAATAATAATAAAGGAACACTGTTCAGTATTGCAGATTTCACTGCAACCACCATAAACATCATGGAGAATTACTTAAAGTAGCATTTAAAGTACAATTTTGTTTCTGTTAAAAACAAATTACTGTATGATGAAAAAATGGAAAGAAACCCAAGAAGAAATCAGCCCCAAAAGTGGAAGAGAAGAATATGAAATGTCAATAAATGGCCAGAGGCTCCATTTCACATAAGTCTGCCTTCTTTTTAGTATCAGAAACCAATTACATAGAACAAAAAAAGCAGAATCACAACAGGTTTACACGGAGAAACATGCTGAATTACAATCACAAACTATCCAGAACAAAGATGCTGCACCAGTTCAGTTGTTTTCTTCATGGAATGAGTCTCACCAGAACAGGGAGAACAGGGAGCAAATCATGCAATAGCTTTAGGCATTTTGTTTTTTTTTTATTTTAACATGATAAACACCCAGGATTACTAGTACTGGAAAGTATGTGTTAACCTTTTTCAACATCAGCTGAATGGCACTACAGAAACGACAAAGAGTTCCTTCATTTTTATCCTGAATACATTGAAAGCTCTAGCAAATATGGAATTCAGTGACAAGAGCCATTAAATTACTTTAAAATATTCCTTCATCCATAGAACACTGTTGCTTCCTTTTTTATTACAAAACCCCAAAAATATTCAAAATAAAATGTCTTCATTTTTTATAAGCATCTCCACCACAAGTCTCTGATAGCGGATGTCGTTCAGTGCAGCCATCGCATCCAGCTCCGGCGCTCTCATAAGAGTTGGTCCAAAAACAATGCCCAGGTTTTCTGCACTCATCAGGTTTTCCTTTTCATGGAGTGTTACTCTGTAAAAAAAAAAAACACACAGTGATTCTCACATTTCTTCTGTGCCAGACCATGCCTGCATATGTTTGAAAACCAGAGAACCTGGACAAAAATGCGTGCCTTTCCCCAAGAGAAGGAGAGGCCAATGTTTCCAGCAGGTCCCACATGGGAGTGAGTAAAAGCAAATGCAGTGTGGGTTTGTGGTGGGTTGGTGTCTGTCCTCAGAGCACACAGACCATGCTCATCTACACTTAATGAACAAATCCTTTGGTATACAAGATTTGTCCTCTGTTTCTCCCTTTCTGCCTTAGTTTTTATTTGAAAACAGGTCAGACTGATGTAACCAAGTTGCTGTGTCTCCAACCTCTAAGCATTCCAGATAAAGGAGCTGTGTCTGATTACCTGCATTCAGCAGTAAGACAATGGCCTGTAGAGCAGCACAGCTCCTCTTAGCAAAGCATTAAAAGAGAAGTTTAAAAATAGTGAATTTTGTCACCTTTCTACCTTTTCACATATACCAGAAATATGATAAGCAAAAGCAACTTGCTAGGTAGAGTAGCAATAGCTAATCTTGAACAGGGTGTGGAAAAATTAACTTCACACATCACAAGCTGCAAGGAGGAATTTTTTGTTCCTACATCTCTCATTCCTTTGTCCATTTTAAAATACCCATTAGAAATGTCATTGAAATAAAGGGACAAACCAGGCAGAAACTCAGTAGTTGAATTTTGCCTGAGGCACTCAGCAGAGTCAACACAGTCCTACTTGCATAAGAACTACAAAATGAAAGAATGTGGAAGAAAGCTTAAAATAAAGTAGTTTTTCTAAGGAAAGGGAATGATTCTTACATATTGACAGGAAGTTCACGTTACTTGAGAAACTAAAATGGACACCCTAACATGCCACCTTGGTTTTGCTTTGCAAGGGATAATCCCCTGTGTCTGAGTTTTGCTGTTGTGCACAGGCCTTCTCCAGGACTTGGTGGGCCTTGACCAGACTTTTATGGAGGTGCTAACATGGACTTTTGCTAAAAATGAGTGTGGCTTAGAGTTCTTTGCAGCTATTCCACCCACCTCTTCAGATGTGCCATGAGATACCGTAATGTTTCACAGTGTGCAGGCGGCAGCAGCTTCAGCGCCTCGTGGAGAATTTCCAGCTGTTCATCCGGATCCGTGGTTTCTGAAACACAGATGTTCAACTGTCACCACACAGACAGCCAGAATTCACACACAGAAAGGCAACAACTGGTGGCCTGCACAGGAGATAGGGTCTCACAGCTCTGCTGGATTACTCATGGAGCATTTGTCTGTCCAAAGAGGCGCTCAGAGCACCATAAGGATGTGACTGGTTTTGGACAAAGAAAATTCCCCAAAGCAAACTGCACTCCACTGAAAGATTCCCTGCAGCCTACTAAAAAAATCCTCTGGCAATCCTTGCTGACTGGACTGGCTTTGCACAAACAATCTACAGGTGCAACTCTGGGAGAACAGAAGGTACTGGGAACTTTGCCATCAGTGCCCTTGGCTGTCTCTATGCAACTTGGAAAAAGCCTTCTTTGGAGAAGGAGCTGTACAGACAGCATGCGGTCCTTGTTCTCTAGCCACAGCTACCTCACACCTTTCCAGGTGCGGCTGGTGTGAACACATCACAGAAATGCTTCAGGCAGCTAGGATGTTGGGAGAGAAGTTCCAGCTGGGCTTACTGCCCTTCTTGCATACCTACTTTCTGCAAGGCCAGCCCCAAAGGTAGCTTTGGGATGAGTGGTTATCAGCTTATGAAAACACTCAAAATGGACAACTCCAGAAACAAACGATATCTTATTTCTAAACATTTCCATAAATCACCTTCTTTATGGCACCACAAACCCAACAGACTTTAAATAATCACCGTCAAGTACCCAGGATTCACGCAAGACACACAAGTGATGTAATCCATAATGTGTGATGAAAAGGAAACATTCCTGGTGACAAAGGCAAAGAAAATGTAACCATGCTCACAGAGCATCACGCAGTCAGGCCATAATGTGCACTGCATGTTTAGTTCTGCAATCCTTACTAAATTGGGCATGCAGGGTAAGAGCTGATGGGACTGCTATAAAATGAATAGGACAGTCCTGCACGAAAAGGACTAAGGCTAAGAATGAAAAGCAGACAAAAAATGCGTTACACTTACTTGCAGACTCTATAAACTTTGGGTAGGCATCATACGTGATGAGTGGAATTGGCAAATCCCTGAAGTACAGTTTAAGTGCACCAGTGATAATATTGATATCTTCATACATATTCACAGAAATATCAGCTTTTTCCCCATCTGTGGAGAAGGCACTGATATTAAAGCCTTGGAAATGTAAACAGATGTAAAACAGCATTCAAAAGAAAAATAGTAACTTGCTTAAGCAAACATTATTGCAAAGGAAACAACTACAGATTTTGGCTTTTATAAGTAAAACAGCTACTGGACTGTGATGTTCATGGTTTCAGGGTGAAAACCTCAAGCATTTTATAAAGTAACATATCTTTTCTTTGTTTCAAATAATTACTAAAAAATAAGCTTGGGTTTTTTCTTAAAACCTGCCTGCCTGATCTTGCAGTATCTGCCTTGGATTAAGGTGTGGACGTTTAGCTCTGCATTGCAAAGCAACACATTCATCAGCACTGCATAAGAAATCAGGGAGTCTGGGAAAAAAAGTAAAAGGCGAAAAACCAGCTTTGTCCACAGCTCCCCTATTTTATAGGAAAAACATGTGTTCACCATTTAACTACAACATACTACCTAGTCCAAAGTGCAGCGGACACAGATCCAGAACTTGGCTTCTCCAGCATGTCCCCACCCTGCTAACACTGCAGATGTTGTGTGAATCGGTCCAGTCCTCCAGACAAACAGGAAAGAGAGCTTCCAGCACAGATTCTGGCCTTGATTTCTACAGGGATAGAGGGACTGCAGCTGGAAAGCCTTTAATTTTCCCACTGTCTTTTCTCAGAGAGAAGAGTTTGTTCTCAGTGACCTTCTTTTAGTCTGCAATAATTCAAACTTTGTTTGCACTATTGCATTCATCTTATTATTTTGGAGCTTTCATCCAGAAAGAAGGATTTAAGTTGCACAGCTCTCTTAAGGCACTTCACCACTTACCCTCTATCCCTCCCCCACCCCTCTGAGCGCAGTTTGACTTGCAAACTAGGGCAGTAGTTCACAAAGCTTTGTCCTTTCCTACACACATGGTTACTGGAGCACAGATACTGATGGAAGGAGAAAAGTAGATTTTTGTAATAAAGGCCAAAGTGAAGCTGATGTGCTTTTCTGATGGGGTGTCTCCCCTCCTGCCAGCACAGCCGTCGGACTCCTTCAGACCACTGGTGCAGTGGAGCGTGAGACAGAGGCTCTGCAGAAAACTGTGTATATTTTATACATCAGCACCAAGTTCCAGCATGCAGGAAAGGCTGTACCTCTGTCAAATGCCATTTTGACATCTTCAATAAGATCACTAAATCCTGAGACTCTGTACAGTCCTTCAGAATTAAGACCTGCAATGAACATTTTAACAAGATTAAAATTAGTCCTTATTTTCACAGTTGCCTTCCACTTTGTTCTTCCCTTGGCAAGTTTTTCATTTAAGGCAGAAAAAGAAGACATGCTTTAAAAGCCTTATCAGTTTTTTCTTCCAGAATGAAACCTTATCCTGGGTTTTTAACCCTGACCATTGCAGCAGATGCCTTGTTCTATCAGCACTAAACTGTATTTACACAAATGACTTCAGAGCTGAAGGAACATATTAAACCAATTACAACTCATTTAAAAATAACTCAGATTAACATACTTGATGATCAGTCATTATTTCAGAATGAAAACAAATACCCTAATGCTAGAAAAGGATACTCAGTGTGGGCTAGGGGAGCTAGCAAGAGTGAGCACATTAATTAACCCCCTTTGTTTTGCCACGTCCACTTAATCTTTTAAAATAAATATATTATTGGAAAGATAGGCACTAATATGTATCTACAAAGCAGTAACTGCCCATTAAGCAATTTCTAGCAGAATCTATAAAAATTATAAATGGTATGAACCATGAAATAAAGCACAGTATAATATTAGCTGTGCAGGGTAATTGGCAGTCATAAAATGTCTTGTGCAAATCTGTTTTGAGCAATCATACATTCAGCAGAAACCCAGATGACCCAGATCAATCTAAATGGATTATCAGTAAAGCAACAAAAGTCCATTAACGATGTCTTACCTCTAGATTCAATTTCCCTAATGCACATATCTACCACCATTGGTCTCTTGGTGAAGTGTGCTTTTACTAGTGTGGTAAGGTCACAGCTGTACACTTTTTTGACATGCTTCAGGTCTGGCTTGCAGTCATTTGGGACCATCTTGGAACATTGCTTGTGCACATTTAAACCACAATCTGAGGGAAAAAATGAAAACGTGATTAGGCTGGTGTTTGCTGAAAATGTACTCTGAGATCAGTGCTCTGAAGTACAAATGGCTCTGGCAGGATCTGACCTCAGCTCACAACAGCTACTTCTCTTCAGGGCCCTTAACCAACAAATACCTGAGGTAGGGACATCCCTGAAGTCAGAAGGATTTCCTACCCAAGACATTTCTTCTCTTTCTAGAAGGTCTAACACAGAGTGAAAAGTTTTCCATGTTTTTTCAAATCAGAGGCTTGGGGTCAATTATGTTCCCCACCACTATTACATACATTGCTGTCCCAATGAAGACTTTTCCCCCAAGTTACTGAGGATTTCCCAACACCTCCATCTTCAACATAGTCCTGGATCTGGCACTTCAGACATCTCCAGGGGGACATGAAGGTAGGGACTGGGTTACCAACAGGCTACAGCTCCTCTGCAGTGTGCTGGCAAGGCAGAGCCAGAACCTGAGCCGCTTGAGGGATCTCTATGTGCAGACTCCCAGGTGCTTGTCAGGAAACAGCTGAGCGCAGCGAGAACAGCAGCACATCCCAGCGAGGGCGGCTGCCCCACTCTGATGTGCACTTGGAACACACAGGGACTCCTGTTCTGCAGGTGTTTCTGCACCTTGCTGCCCTGCCATCCCGAGTGCCCTGCACTGTCACAGGATTAAGGGATGGCTGTAGGAGCTTGAAGGATCAATGCCTTGATGAAAATCTGTACTTTCTTCTCTCATCGCAGGACTACCTACTACCTATCTACTGAGAATCCCTTCCTATTTTGTTCCTTCTGATTTTTCCAATACTTGTACTTTCATTAAAGCTCCAAGTTATTTGGCTTAGTTCTTTCCAAAAGAGTAAACCCCAGAATTGATGTCTAATTTCCACTAAGTCTGCTGCAGCCTGCTGCTAAAAGCATTTTGTTTACTTAAAAGGCCTATAAAGCAGCCAGATTTGTCACTTAGGATCCTCTGGTTGCAATTAAAGTTTGGCATGTCACCTTCAATCCATCAAAACACACACAGATCCCGATCCAGATGAAATGGCTGATAAGAATTCTCTTGAGGTATTTCTGTGCAGGAGTGACCTCCGTTCCTCGTGAGGAGTGGGAAGGCAGGGGCAGGGAGCTGCGGTGCTGAATTTCCCTCCTGGCTGGTTGTGTGCTGTGAGCCCCGGCACGGGCAGTGTCACACACCCAAACCCAGCCCTGCTGCCCCGGGGGTGCTGGGGGCCAGCCTGGGTGGGCCGGGGGCTGCTCTGCCCCAGCTCCCCCAGCAGCTGCCTTGTGTGGACCCAGCGTGGGGAAGGGTGGCTTGGGCAGCCCGGTTCCTCAGCGCTGGCAAAGGCACCTGGCAGAGAGGGAACGGTGACAGCCTCGCTCTCACCTGAACATTTATCTACATCCCACATTTAGTCAAGTGCTCCAAGAGCCCAAAGTGACCACATGCCCAGCATGTCCCTACCTGTTTGGGCACAGAACAGAGACTGAGCCTACCAGCCAGCACAGGCAAGGGGAGCTCCTCCTAGGCTTTAAATATCTGTGCCCTGTGTGACATTTTGCCTGAACTCTGAAAAACCAGGTCTCTCTCTGTGCTTTAAAAAGGGAAGCACTGAATTCACTGGAAGATGTGACCCGAGCCCTTTAGTGAGTCACTGCCCCAACTGTAACAGGGCAAGGAGAAGCTGTTCTTGCCTCCTCTGGGTCTTGTAGAACCAAACCAATAAATGTTTGTGGAAAGGTAAAATTACTCTTCTTTGGTGTAAGGTTTGGATACTGCGTCATTAGTAAGACTAGCGCTTTTAAAAACAAGAAGACAAAATACTGAATAGGTGCTATTAAAGCAGTCAGCTTTCAAAATAAAGACAAAATTGAGGAGTAAAAATAAGAAATAGTCATATAATTAGAGGCAACATCTTAACACACACACACACACACACAAGGAAAGCAAATTGAGACCACATAGGAAATCTTAAATCTTGACTTCCTTTATTTAGGAATAAACCTTAATGTTGCAATAATAGTATTTACAAATGCAAATATAATTATTGTACATACAATTCTAAAACTGCCTCAAGAAGCACCTCTTCCAACAAGCATGAAATACCTGCCTATCAAAAGTGATGTCTACAACACTGGAATGGCAGCACCTCACTCATGAGAACTCATGAAGGATTCTGTGAGTGCAAATTAGCTGCTTCACACAGACAGCAATATAGCTCAAAGTTACATTTCTGGAAACCCAAGGATCATTAAGAATAAAATACACCAAAAAAAAGAAAAAAACCACATACTCACAAGTATCTTGACTTAAACCAATTATTGCCTTGACTGAGATCATCTTAATTATATTTATATACAAGAAAGTTTCAATTCATTAAAATCTCATTTTACAGAGATGTTTTCATTGTGAAAACCTTGCTTCTGACAATAATTGTGTTATTGTTAATCCCATAGAGTCAGACAAGCTTTAAGAATCTGACCTCATTAATCCCAGAATAATAATTACAAATGCAGAAGTCAACTTTTCTCCTCTCTCTTTTGTTCTTCCTTTGCATTTGATTAGATTTTATGTACCAACCCACTGCTTAAGGGCTTATCAACACTCCTGAGAAACATTTAAAACCGGGAAATATTTTGGATACCTAATGTTTAGAAAACATGTGAGCCTTATGTTCAGTATTATTGGGCTGCATGGTGTTCTTGTAATAAGTAAGGCTTCTTGCCTCTTGTGTAAGCACAGAAAATAATCTTACTTTAGCAATTTCATATCAATAAATATATAAAGGTGATTTCAGTGAATTTGCATCAGGAAATGGTATTTTTTTTCCAATGAAGAACCTGAAACTCACCAGAAACTTCCTGAACCAAGTGAGCCTCTAACCCCAGCTGACAATACCTCATAAAAAGTAGAACATCCATGTCTCAGTCACTTCACTCATCTCTGGTTCAGCTGATAACTAAGGATGATGTCTTGCTAACTCCACCAAGGTAAAAAACACCATGGCAAAGAGGTCAGTCCTCCTCTCCACTGGGAATGTCCCAGTTTTGTACTTAACTGTACTCAACTATTTGTTAGTACTAAAAGACAGGAATTTTACTGCAAACTGAATACTATTAAATAAAAAAAATAAAGTCCTCTGTTCTCATTGCAGATGCTTTGAAAACTTCAAAAGCCATTATTTTAGAATCAAGTATGAAGGAAGAGGAAAGCCAAGTCCTGAATCTCCCCACATGCTGCCGTGGGGTAAAGTCTGGCCTTGTTTGCACATGAGCTTCATAATTTGGCTGAGTTCATTATGACCAAGGGCATTAATTTAATTTCAAACTGAGGGTCTATTTACTTTTCATTAATGTCAAAATAAATCCAGAATAGCAGCTTTACTCTGGATCCAAAGTAAGCCAGAGCCTTATCCATTTCTCAGAGAAATTCAGCAGCACTTACTGGCTGGCTGGTAAAGAGCTACAGAGAAATCCCCCTAAAGCTTTCTATCTGCTGATAAATCCTAGAATAATAGAGGATGTAAAAGATGCAGTCATGAGCTCTTGCAGGTCAATAGTAAAACTTCTGCTGACTTCAGTTAATCAGTTCCACCTCAGAGAGATGATTTCTCAGAAGTAGAATTGTAAGTCACTCTTACTATTCCTTTTACAGTGCTATCAAACTGTGGCCACCTTTCAAATATACCACATGGACCAAAACCAATGCAGTCATAAATTCAAGAGTTTATAGGAAGTTTGGAAATTTAAGGAGGGTGCACAGCAAGTAATTTTAAATGACAGGTTTGAAAGTCGGTGATAAGCTGCCCTGGCTTTAAGAACATATTGATCTAGGAGTTCAGATGGGCTGTGACATTACTTCTCTGAGAAGCAATAAATTTAAAACCAGGCTGACAATAGCTACCTATGAAGCCTAGAAGAAGGTTTGGTAATGTTACAGAAGTAGCTAATACTGATGTTAGTCCACTGGGCTAAGAGAACAAATAACATGCTCATATTAAATGCATGAGCAGAGCCAAAAGATAGATGTACGTTACTACTGCCCCATGAGCACACATTATAAATATTTGCAGACAAATAAACTTAGCTGTCGTGTTTTGTTATACTGTTGATTTGGCTTCAGTCAGTTTCAGATTTCCTTTGGTTTATGATTTACTGGCTAACACGGCTGCTGATCGTGCTCCATCGGAACGATACCATGTGCTACATACATCACTCTAATTACGTGTCCGAATTATCCCCCCAAAATTGATGCATTCTATCACTCTGAAGAGCAGCTTTAAGAGCTTTTAAAGGGTAGATTTACATTCTCTGCAAGAAATCTTGAAATACTCTTCTGAGGTTTGTGCTAAGTGTAGGAGGGTGGGAAGCGTGGAGCTGCGGTGCAGGCAGCGAGTGTTGCCTTGGGCTGGTCCATTGCAGCACCTACCAGACAGGGCAGCACCCTCACACCTGAGCTGACACAGGGAGAGAGTGGGCTCTACACAAGCACAAAGTACTGGCATCGTTCCTTCTTGCAAGGCTGAATAGGTTAGAAAGGCATTTGCTCTCATACATCACTCATGAGCTCGTAGCTTTTCTTTAAAAATTTAACGTTCTTTCTGTAGCAGAGGCAGCAATGTTCCCTGTTTCGTGGGATGCAGTGTGTTCCAACAGGTCAGTGAAGGTAGCAGCTCCAGGGGCCCCACGTGCTGCACTCCGTACTTCCAAGCACAATCCAGCAGGGTGCTATGAAGGCCTGCCCTCTTCCTCCTCAGCTGTGTGGCTGCAACTTGGGTGGCCACACTGGAGCTGCCACAGTGCCTCAAATATGTGCGTGTGTTCATCTGCAATGCACATCTGGAAGCAACCCTGGTCCCACCAGAGCCTTAAGTCACTTCACTAAGCAGCCCCATGGCAAAAATTGCTTCCAAACATATGCCTCTGCTCCCTAAAATCTACTTACATCTGCGCCACTGTATCATGCACTACAGGGTACATTATTTTAAGACAGGAA